GAACAAAGACAATAATTTCCTCATTGACATTCATGCAATTTTGAAATCACGCGATGGCATTTTAACAAGTTTTATGGGCCCAGCGGTCATGAAACTCACTCAACACACGCAGTAAATTACCGTTTAAAGTGTCAATTCCAGTAATGAAATGAGAGTAAAAAGGTAGTGAGGTGATTTATACCTGACTCTATCAGTATGTCTCTTACATAATCTCAACCGTGCACGCTCATTTCAGTTAAGGATGTTTTCATTCTGCGTCTGTTTTTCGTCATTTCGTGCCCTCTCTCTGTCCCGCTCTCTCCGTTTCTTACTCCCATGTTCCCCATTAGAAGCTCATATCCCAGTGACCTCCACAGAGTCTCCGCAGGCCACATGACCTAGAGAAGGGGGGGTGTCAAAGGACCTTCTTATATCATTACACACACACACACACACAGCACACCCACCACCACACACCACAACACACACACACACCACACCAACCACACACACACACACATAAACTCTCTGGTGGCTGCAGTAATTGCTATGACACGGAAGGTCATTTCCAGAGACGATACAGAATAAGGCCAGGTTGCATGGGACTATTTTGCCTTAATCTGACCCGGTCTTCTGGTGAGCATGTGTGTGAGTGTGAAAGACAAAGCCACTGAGTGAACGAACTAATCATATCTTTACATCTATATATATATGTGTATGTTTTCTGTTGAAAAAAGTGCATAAACGGTGCACACTGATAGAAATGCACATGTGCTTGGAACACACACACACACACCCAACCAACGTACTTAAATAATCTTTATCGCCTGTGGCCAGGTCCTTTGCGTGGGTGGTCAGGTTTATAATTGACAGGTGCTTTGGTGTGTTGCACCTTTGCCTGTGTGTATATGCGCAGCCTCCACCGCGCGCACATTTCAGACGGATCTTGCTTGTTTGTGGCAGATCGATGCGGCTTACTGACTCGGTCCAAGTCCGATGAAAGGAGAGGTTGCTCGTTGAAATTCCGCTATTTGCCACTCGACTCCTCTGTTGATCCACTTTGTTGCGGGTCATCGTGCACAGTGTCACATCAATTGAGTGGACTGATAGGAAGAGACAGACGGAGAGAGAAAATATTTTCCTCAGTCAGACTGTATTCTTCTGAGTCTTTTATCTTGCTTCTCTTAGCTGGCTTTCGCTGCATGAAACAGGTGAATAGTTTGAACAGAGTGCGCGTGCATGGCTAGACACAACATATATAGGTACAGTATGGTTTCTGCTCCCATTAAAGGAGGAGTTCAACATCATGTGGAAGTGGAAAGAGGAATATAAGAACGAAATAAAGAGTCAGAAATGTCCACAAGAAGTTAGGGCCTCCCTTCTTCTTGTCCCCTTGTGGCAGTTTCAAAACTTCTTTCTTTCAGGAGATATTAAAGTTTGTGTGGAAGAGAGATCTTTGATTGACAGGTGTCTCAGCCTATCACAGCCTGCTGTGCTGGTAGCTGTTTGATCGTTCAACTCTCCCAGGCTTTCTCCTCTTTGACTATTATTTTTGTGGATACTGGGTTAGCTGGCAGAAAATGTTAAACCCAGAATCATGTTTAGTCCCCATTTTTTAATCATTAAACGGCCACTTCACCTATTTTACACAGAAAAGGTGAGTTTATTTGTCACAAAGAGTTCTACTCATTCTGTGGAAACAGTTGTAGGATATCTTTTGTCGTGATATCTCAGCTTTGCTGCACACATTTTGACCTTTTATTCTTTAATATGACTCTTACAGTACCCTCTAAGTTGAAAATAAGATACTTCAAGTGTTAGTGTATGTTGTAGTTTGTTTAAAATTGGAATTGAGCAGAAGTGATGCTTACCTTTCCCTTTTATTGAGGTCTGATGGTGATATACAGTTACTTATGTACTTACTGTATGATTATGTGCACATTAACATGAATTTACATTATAACTGTAGTATATATTTTTAACCTGGCAGTCTAATACATTTTGTTTGTCACTTTATACTGTATGTCATATTCAAATTATAGCATTGCTTGAAAGCATTTAAAGGCAAAGTCCACAAACCAGTGTGTGTTCCTATACATGGAATATAATTATATATGTCATTTCTAACATTTTTTTTTTTTAATTATTGTTTAGTTTAGTTTTTTTTTCTCAAGAAAATGTCAAACTGATACTTATTCACATCGTTTATTTCTTTTAATGGTTAAAGTTGTATTTTTATTTTTAGTCTTATCAGTTTCATATTGTATATAGCTTACATACTTGTTTTGAAACAGTATCCTTGTATTTCCTGTTCTTTGGTATGCTCTGCTGCTGTTATTTGCTCAGCTCATTGTTATTCATGCCTCTATTCCCACATTTCTCTTCTCAAAATTGTTAGTTTCATTATATTTAATATGGCCCATTTGTCCTGTTCTTATTTGCTATATTCCTTTTTTCAGGGATTAGAGATTTAATGATTCCCACAGGGAGTATTAAAGTTTGATCTTATTTTAACTTCTCTTTTGAGAGCAGCGGGCAAAACTCAATTCTAAACTTTATATGGTTTCCTGACGCCGCTTTATGGACTCTTTGTCCTCTATCAACCTGCCATGCACACATAGACACACAGAGCGACACCAAGCTCTGTCGCTCTGCTGCTCCTACTCAAGGAAGTGATAGCATACTTGCTTTTCTGAGGATTTTCACTGGTTCTTTGTCTGGGATGTGAAAATTTTAAAGGTATTAATCCAGCTATAGAAAGCTACTTAGAAATTTAGTGAGCTGCAACTGCACTCATTCAGTCTTTTATTAGTCTATCGCACCAGGAAACGTTAAGTGACAGGTGGACTTGCATAAATAGGATTGCAACCTCTAAAAATCACAATTATTTGACTTACAAATATGTCAGAATTACATATACAGTATTATCCTGCACATACATGATTGAAGAACTTTATAAATGGCGTTGAGACCTCATGGGTCCCGTAGTAGACCCTGAGCCAAGGCTTTCCGAGAGACACTCTTCATGTGCTTTTATGTGTTTACAGGCGCTGTGTGCAGCTGTGGTGTCGCCTGACGTGCTGCAGACCATGGCGCTGGTGTTCAGTGGGGCAGATGTTATGTGCGCCACCGGGGATCCGACCGTCTCCACCCCGTATCTCTTGGCCCAACGTGCCGGACAGAGGCTACAGATGGAGTTCCTGCACCAGAACAAACTCTCTGGTGAGCAACCATGCGTGCCCCACTTTACGTTACTCTCTCCCCACGCCTGTCAGGATTGCCCTTCCTATCTGCAGTTTACAACCACGAGTCAACAGAAGCAGACTTTTCATCTCTAGCCAGTGATGAGCCAGATGTATCAGGTGTAGCTAGCTAGCTAAGGTATGCTAACTGTGTGAGTTGGCTTTTTAATTTTACTTGCCGACAAGTAAGAATTCTGCAAAACAGTCTTAAATATGCACTAATATGCAACAAAAAGTTAGCATCCTCCGTCACCATTAAGCTCCGTGAGACATTGAAACAAAGCAGCAGCACTGTTCTTCAGGGGAGTGCTAGTTAGCCCTAATACCATGGCACAGTATTATAAGTAATTATGCAATATAATTAAAATGTTATTTTGTTTTAACATACTGCTACTATATTACTTGTTAATAAAGAGTTAGTAAAAGTAAGCTAAAAGTAAAAAACTAGCTAAACTAGCTTAGCAAAAGTAAGCTAGTTAGCCGGTCACGCTAACGTTAACAGACAAACAGCATGTTTAATCAACTTCTTAACGTTTGGCTCTTGTGTTTATGGTTTTGGAAAGGTTTGTGAGTGCGTACTGTTTCACAATTACTGTACACACTCTTTAATTCAATAACAAAAGGAAAAATACAGGAAACTTTTCATGGCCAATGTTCAACCCAGGTGAGGTGAGCTATGAAACAGAATAACTCATATATTGTCCTAGTCAGACCTAAAAAAAAAATAAATTAAAAAAATAGACCTGACACGCTCACATAAATCTGTGAAAAGGCCTTTAAACTAGGTGTGCAAGTGAGACTTTTACAACCGTCGGCGCCAGATATGTTCAGCCCATTGTCTTTATACTTTAACAAGCCAATCATGTTTAAAACTCACACCGCTGCGCCGCCATGTTTATTAAAGCACAGTGGGAGGTTTCCCCCCCCCCACTGCCATGAATAGGGAATGAAGGCAGAAAAACACACAAATATGAAACCACCATGTTAGGTAAAATTTTTTCTCTCTCTCTCTTTTTCCTTTTTCTTTCTCTCTCTCTCTCTCTCTCTCTCTCGTTCCTACTTTCACCCAACTCTCCTTTGTGTTACCCACCTCATGTTCCTGGCATCGGCGGCGCGGCACAGATGTGCTGGTCCTCGTGACGGGTGTGTTTTGTTTGTGTGGTTCCGCACTGGGCTGATGAGGAGAATGTGTTTGATTAAAGGAGAGAGAGAGGCCGTTGGCTGGGGCCGTGGGGAGACTTTCTCGGGTGCTATATTTTACATAATGTATGCGCTGCATCTGTGCACAGTCGCCGGCACCGAGCCTGTTAGGGACTCCTAATTGCTAGCGTGGGTCACCTGGTCGCCATGGTGACGGCCATTACTTGGAGGTGTGCTGGAAGACACACAGAGGAACACACATACACACACATATTCACATTCACACGTGTGGTATTGTCCACCTGAAATGTGTAGCATGCAGGCAGTCTGTATATGCTCATTATGTGTCTGGAAGTTGTAGGGCTTCATCATTACCAGGCAGACAAATCTGGAGCTAACCAGAGTCTTCCTGTAAAGACGGGTGTCCAACTTAACTGACCGACTACTGCAGGCGAGAAGGACCTAGGTCAGCAAGGTTACCAAGAACCCAAATGCCACTCATATAGTCACAACTTGAAGAGAGCTGCACTGACTCTTGTCCCTGAGGCAAGATCTCCATTGCAGCCAAGGAACACTGTAAATCTGTCAGAGTGGCCACAAGGCAGCTCGACTCCTAAAAATATGTCAACCCAGGGTCACATGCCACCCTAAAGATGGTGTCTCGTTTGCATCAAATGTCTTTCCGTGTGCGAAAATGACCACCGGCAAACAGATTTTAATTTTCAGATCCTGAAACACCAGCCCAGTATCCCTCCTGTGTTATATTTGTGCAGAACATGAATGTTTAATACCAATGCAGGAAGCAGCAGTAATTTATGCCATTTTACATAATCACAATCTTTCCTTCACATTATTTAACATTAGTTAACCATTCCTCGACCCCCACCCCCCCGGAAAAACTACCGCTTTGAATCACAGCCGTGAAGTACGTTTGTACGGTATATTATGAGCCGTGATATTGACTGATCCCAATGGTATGTGTAATTTACAGCATGATTGAATATTATGTGTTATCCATCAACGCTGCTGTACAAGTGACGGTATGTACATATTTATCCAAGGATTAAAAATAACACGCCAAGAACAGACTGTGCCACTCCTTAGATCCTAAATGTTTTTTTTAACTGATCACCCGGCTGAGGAACACTGCCATCCTTTATAGCCTCATGAAAAAGCTGCTTGTAAAATAATATAAAAGCACGTATCTATAAATATAATTTGTGAAATGACAGTGAAGAAATAGACTATTGTAGTGTGCCGGAAAGATTAAGGCTCCGCATTAAACACTGTCCAGACTCCCCGTTTGACATTTTCCTACTGCCGGACACATTGTCACATCACACAAAGCTGTGGAAAGTGGCGTCTGCATTGTTTTCTGCTGCATGCAGCCCCCAGAGTTAGCAGAAAGAAAGACTTGTGAAATTTCTGATTGAACAAAAAATTGAACTTTTTCAGTTTTTCAGCTGTGCGCAGTGTTATGTCTGGCAGAAACCGGGAGCAGTTCAATACCCACATGACACCATCCCTACTGTGTAGCGTGGTGTTGACAGAGGGAAGATGGAGGGAAGAATAAAAGGAGGCCACATAGCAGCCGATGTCGAGGACAAAACAGAGTTCAGAGTTGTTTTTTAGAGTTTTACAGACTTCATTCTTGTGTTAAAGTTGACAACGAGACAATGGTTGCACTCGTGAAGGTTACGTAAGGACAAGTGTTAGTAGGTGTCTCATTTGTTTTCAGCGTTACGTGCATATCAGTTTTGGCTGTGTACTTAGTGTTTCTCCTTTTTTATTTTAGCTTTATAAAACACCACAACAAGGGTGCACTTCACCACACGCATGGTGCTGTAAAACCGGAAACTACATTGAGCGAAATGACAACAAACACCTTTCTTTACCAAATTCACTATCCCCCTGGTGAGAGACTGGGATAAGCCGGCAAAACACACACTCGTCTGACACGCCGAACAATCCTCACTTGTAACAACTAAAGTCTAAATTGGAGGATCTCTTAGTGTGAAGAAAAACACTGCCGCTGCATCTCTTCACAGTGTGAATCACGCTCCTGGTTTGTAGAAATAAAAATAGGAGAACCCTCCATTTCCCCTGGATACGGTGTATCAAAACAAAGCTGTCAGCCTGCTTCTCCCAGAACCTCTCCACCGTCCGTTCCCCTCCGCGGCGGCTCATTTGTAACTCCAGCGTTAGGACGTCCACTGATGGCAGAGCATTGGCACTTCATTAGCTCCTTCTCTCTGCGTCTGTGCCAGTGCATGCTCGTGGGCCTCGATGGACCATGTTCTTCCGCCCACACCTGCCCGCCCCAAACCACCCTGGGATACCGTAGTAGCATGTGCATTTACATATCCACATCCCAGATTTCATTAAAAAAGCCAATGGCGGCTCTCCGAGGCGGTGTCTCTTCGCATTTTAGGAACCCATGAGGGCAGCTTCAATGATGGATCTATCCCTTATAATAGTCAAAGGCTTCCACTGAGGTGGTTTCTTGTATATTTTTAGGTTCCTTTATCATTTTTTTATGTCCAGCGTATTCCCGTATGTTACACTCAGGAGGCTACACAGGCCACATGAATACAAATTGCACCATCAAAAATGTGTATATAGCATATATAGGTCCCGCAAGTGTTGTTTTCATCACTGGACCAAAAAAAGGTAAATCTTTCAAGGGGCAATGATTTTCGATTTGGTGTTCAGTTGTGGCAAACATGAATTATCAAAGAAAACATTTTTTGGCACTGTTAAGGCAAAATTTAAAAAATGAACATTAATCTATTTTGGCACAACTCACGTCTAACCAAGCTGTCACCAGTGTCTGTCCTGTCACTTGCCAGGGTGAACATGGTGATAGATATGACACCAAATACTGTGGTTACTGCACTTTAATCTTAGCTGGTACCACTTTTTTTGAATGCTAACTTACAGCCTCAGTGGTTAAGGAAACACTCTGTAAGTAGGCAGTGTTGGTTTGAAATTCCCCCAATAATCAGTGTCTCAACAAAGCCTCTACCATCAATTGAACATCATTCTTGATAAAAGCAGTTGATGGACTAAAACTGTAAATGCAAATTCTCTTAACACTGAAATGAGCATTATGAATCCCAAAATGGCGTCAATTTCCCACATCTTGCTGGCTAATTTAGCAGGTATGGAGACCTGTTGGTGTTGCCAGTGTTGCTGTAACATCTGTGGCTTAAATGGACCACACAGAGGACCTGTTCTGCCAATGAGGACAGTTTATTAACACACAGAAGAAGTTTCAGACCTTGGACTTGCTGCTCTCTGTCCTGGTGCCACTGGTCCCTGTGTGACTGGGTGGACAAGTTAGTATTTGGATCTTAAATGTTGCAGGTGCGTAACATTAACAACTGAGCTCCACCTGCCACACGCAGGATCTGTTTACACAAATACAAGCCTACTAGGTCCTTTTTCGGTGTATTGACATGTTTGAAATGTGGTGGATTCAAAATTTTACCTTTGGCTACAAATAAATGTTACTGGAAGTTGTTTTGTTGAATTTCGACCTTCATTGGTGGATTGTAATTTCAGGTAGCATTGACCAAATGACACAAAACTAAAATTTTAAGAGGTTCTGTTCAACCAGCTATACACCGCCCAGTGTCACAGAATGTAATAGTGATGAGTCGCAATGGGGCAGTGCAACAAGCTGTAAACAGAACATTGACATAATGTCTCTTAAAAAGATTTTCATGGTGAACGTCAGCAAACTGTTTCTTATTTATATATCCAGCAGACAAATAGCAACATTACCATTCATTGGAAGTTTCTGTGTCCACCTGGCAAATCTAAGTCCAATATTAACTC